AAAGAAAGACCACAGTGGTGTGTTGGACTTGCAGAGGGAGAGAACATACCTAGGGATACAACATGGAGTTGGGGAAAGGGAGTGGGGGAGAGGTTGGGGATAATTGGGTGGGGGAGATGGGGTACAAATGCAATTTGTGGTAATTGCCATGCTGCCAGTGTGGATCTGGTCTTCACATCTAGGGTACGAGGGGGACAATCAGCCTTGTATCTCTTGCATATTCTTAACCAACTTTTAAAAAAATGAAATAAGGATGTGTTTTGTCTACTGTGCCATCTAGCACTGTTCTGGAACTTTTAGCTGAAATGGCAAGATATGAAATAGTATAAAGTTAAAACAATTTAATAAAGTGGCTGGATACAGGACAAATATATAAAAACAACTTGCCCATGTAGAGCAATCACATTAAAATTTCATGGAAAGAATTCCATTTTCCATAGCAATCAAAACACATAAACTGTATGAAATAATAAATGTGAGGGTCTATTTTAAGAAAACTGCTCTCTGTACATAACAGATGGGTTAAAAGCCTGGACTTGGTTGTTAGATCTGGGTTTAGTCTCACTTTTCCACATGCTTGACAGCCTGGGATGAGCCTCTTTAAGCCTGTAATTGCATCTGAAAATTTCATCCATTCGTTCAATAAATATTATTTAGCACCTGCTCTGCTAGGCATTGTACTAGGTCCTGGAAATCATAGTGAATAAGGCTCAGTCCTTGCCCTCATGGAACTGACATAACATTTAGTGAAATAATTATAGTGTCTACCTCAGGATTCCTGTGAACATTAAAGGAGAGAGTGCATGTAAATAGTTATAGTGTCTAGGGCTGTAATATTATTGAAAAATACTATAGAAGACTTTAATAGGAATCACCCTATGTTTTTATCTGGGAAGTCTGAGTATTGTAAAGTTATTACTTTTTCTCAAATAATAGCAGACATTTAACACAGTTTGGATCTAATCTATGTCAGGGACCACCATGGGCTATCTGTCTTGAGGTCAGACTGTACTCCTGCACTGGCTAAAAACAGGTTTGGGGACCTTCAAAACCTCTTTACTATAACCTTGGGAGCCAGGGCTCTGTAGTCAAGAGACAGAATCAGAGTCTGCAGTCAACTTGATTGTACATCCCAATGGTGGACTTTCACCTAATGTGCCAGTGCTTCTTCCCCTGATCAGTTCATCTCCTGCCTTCTCTCACTCATGAACCCCTACCTAGCTGGGTGGGCCATATTCCATAATAGGAATTTTCTAGACTTTGCATTAATTTTCCAGTGATTTGGAGGGAGGAGTTTGATTTGAATGGTCTGAGTGATCTGGGCTTGCTCAACCTCCAGAGTGGTCTCTGGGTACTCTTTTGCAGGGCTCCGGCTCTTGCTGGTGATGCCCTTGCTAGGTGTAGTTGTATTATATTTTGAGCTCATACCACGTTCATCTTTGTGTCCTCATTCTTATACCATGTAGCAAGGTTTTTGAAGGTGGGGTGGGACTAGAGGATTTGGCTTGAGAAATGATCCAAAACTTTATGTCTGAGAATATATAGTTGGGAAAACCTAAAGGTGGGAGGAGTAGGGAGATGATGGCGTCACAGGTGTGATTACTCTTAGGGAAACATATATATGTATACACATGATAAATCTCATATCAAATCAATTCTGGATGGAATTCAAAGAGTTAAAAATTTTAAATAAAAGAAAAGCTGGAAGATAAAAGTGAATGGTTTTCAAATTTCCATTTGGGAAAGATTTCAGTCCATCAGATCAAGGTGCAGTTTTGCTGATCATCATGAATATCACATGAAGTGAGAGATGTATAAATGTCCCCAGTCACTTGTCTTCTTGTACTGACAGAGCACATTTCCTGAGTCTTTTATGAGGGAAAAAGGCCACATCTCCTATAGAACCACGCTCCTAATGTGTGCCCTGTGAGTGCTGTACTGCCTCATTTGCATTTAGAAGCCG